TGCGTGGTCATCTCACTCTACTCCGGCAAAGCCTTGGAAATTTTCTGTCCACACCTAAAAATACTGTAGGGAAAAACAAAAACTGTAGGTATGTTACTTGCCAGAAGATGGAGCTATAGTCTAGTTATTTAAAGAACAGAAGACTAAACAAGTGTTTTTTAAGGTTAGAAACCTAAACTTCAAAAACAGGAGGGGGAGGACGACACAGAGAAGCAGATGAGTAGAGTAAGTCAATCGCTCAGAGGCGAGAACCGGGATTCAACAACCACAACAGCGAAGTATTTCTGTCCTGACCGCACCAGGCCCCTGCTGATCAGCATGTGGTCTCAGCAGCAGCAACAGCACCACCCAGGAGCAGACTCTTAGGGCCACCCCAGACTCCGAGTCAGAATCTGTGTTTTAACACGGTCCCCAAGCAATTCACATCCGCATGCAAGCTTAGTTCTCCATATTGGCTCCCCACGAAAATAAACTCAGAGAGCTTACACCAGCTAAGAAGTCCGACTCTCACAGCTTCTAATTCAATCAGTATGGGGTAGGTAAGACGTGGCTAATTTTTAAAAACTGCCCAGGGTGTTGTCTTGGGCAGCCAAGGTGGAGAACCCTCTGACTCCCAATCTTACAGCTGAATATATTTACCTTCACTGGCAGCATGAAGGGTTGGTTACAGCCACGGCTGAGGAAGAGGCAAACCTGAACAGAGGAGTTATTCAGCTCAGCTCTGACCACTAGTCTTCCCTACTCGCTACAGTCCAAGCCTCAAGCTGGGCCTTCCTCACTGAGGATGAAACCCTCAGTATGTGAAGCTGTAGGTCAGTTGGATTATTCTAATTGTACATAGATGTTTGGGGCTCTTTGGAGCTTTCTCAACATTTCACATTGTGCTTAGAAACAACGTTTTCCTATTTACTGGGCTTAGTAAAGAATCTTATTTTATATAGGAAGTATATAGAAATTTACACTTACATAATATACATTTTTGCTTGGTTAGCCATACTTCTGAGAATGCTAGATATTCTAGAAGTGCTATCACTAGGGCAACACATTCACAGGCCAAAATGCATGAAAGGACATCAAAGTCATCAGGTCTTTTGTCTCTAATAACTGAGCATTTTTAGAAAAAAAAATGATTATCTCCCTGTGACTTCAAGTTTGCAAACACATCTCAACCTCTTTCCACATAATTCTTTCATTTCCTTAATGCTCATCAGTAATAAAGCTATTGTTAGATAATCTGCTGTAAAATCTCGATGCTTTACTTCCCTGTATGTATTCCATTCATTCATCTGTCCATCTAGCTATTTGTCCATTGATTAGTCCATCTGTCTACTCACCAGCCAGCCATTCATCCATTACACAACCATCTACCCATCCACTTTTCAATCCATCTACCCAAATTGTGCTTAAGTTAATGTGAACAGACTTCTGACTTACATATTTTCTCAATGGGTCAAATTAATCTTCCTTAAAGATGCTTTCATCATATTATACTTTTGTTCAAAGTAAAAAATATTTAAAATAAATAAAATAAAATAAAATTTGAACAGTGGAAAACTGTTCTTTGGTCCAAATCTGAAATCCTCATCCAAGTTTTCAGACACTGGTCAAAGTTCATTCCAACCTTTATCTGACCACATTTCTAATAATATGTATGCTCCATTCCCCATACTGTCCTCAAGATAAATCATTCTCATAGTGCCACTCATTCTCTTAATATTGCTTATCATACAATTACTCACTGACTATTATCTTCCATGGACTAGACATCACAGTTTCAAAGGTGCAGCCCCTGGCACTCACTATGGGGCCTGAATCCTAGTGGTACAGACATACAGAGGGCTCTCCTGCGCCATTCACAGAGTAGCAAGGGCTATGCAAACACGGTGCCCAGGGCTATCAACTCCGAGAAACGGATCAGAAAGGTGCTCTTGAGCCTTAAAGGATAGACAGCCAGGAACTTGCCACAGAAGAGAGAAGGAAAAGGGCATCCCACTGATACAGGGTGCAGCTAGGGGGGGCTCCCAAAAAACCAGATTTGGAAAGGTGTCCAGAAGTCAAAGTGTATAGAAATATTGGAGAAACATATAAGATGTCCTCACCCCCCCCCCCAGGGGGAAGGGATGAATGGAGCCAGGCCATTGAGAGCTATTTTGCATAGCAATAGTTTTGCAGCTAACCTCTGGAGGAATGGTTATTTAACATATCTATAACCTTTAACTGGTTTCATAGATATGTTAAATAGCAGTGGCCAAGTTTGGGGCCAGAGAGAAGTTTGTGGCAGGGACTCAAGATGGAAACTAGGGGCTGCTCTCCTGAGGGAGAAGGGCTTGGACTCAGAATGTAACTAGGGTCGGCGCTCCTGAAGAAGGGAGAAAGTAGTGGACTGGGACTCAGGAGGATGTAACGAGGGGCTGCACTCCTGAGTGGGAAGGCCTGGGAGAGAGCCACACGGTTTCAGCAGAGTGAGGACCCCCTCTTGGTGAGGTGAAAGAGGGAGCCACGCGGTTTTGGCAGGGTGTGGACCCCCTCTTTCCCAGGTGAAAGGGAAGAACCACGCAGCTTTGCCAGAAGGGAGATCCCTGCAGGCAGGTGAAGAAGAAAGCCACATGCTTTTGGTAGAGTGCGGACTCCTGCAGCTTTGATAGAAGAGGCCCACGCAGCTTTGGGGTGCCCCCTTTGGCCACGGGGCCTGAAAAGCAACAGAGACTTTGACTGGAACTGGGTACAAAGGACTCTTGCCAGTGGACCATGAGAGGGTACCACAGTACTTTGGATTAACTCGAGATCCTGCACAGTGACACAGCTGACGGTGCCAGCGGTCTGCAACACAGACGTGTGCTCTTTTCCTGATTTACGGTACCCGGAGTTGGGACAGTGGGAGAAGGGAGCACTGTGTGGGTGTAGGTGTATACATAAAGGACTTTGATATTTTAGTGGTGGCATTAGGCCTGAATAGCATTAAATAAACATTTTGTTTCCTTTTCACAAATCTCTGGCTTTAAGAGATGTCTTTCCAATTGGCGGCGGACAGAAGGGCCCAGTAGATTTTAGTATTTTGGTTTTCGGGAGGGGCCCCTGTTGTATAGCAGTTTTGGGCATCCCTGGATGAGCCAAATATTATATTACCCCTCCCTCGGACCACCTCCTCTGGTTCGGTAACACCACCAGCTTTCTCTTCTCTGCATGACCAAGTGCTGTCCATCTTCTATTTCAGCTCCTCCCAGGACACCATGTCCTTAGCACTCCCAAGTCCCCGCCTGCCTCTACAATTCTGTAACCCTGGTGGGCCGATCCACTCAATTTAGAATGTGCACGGAGTTAATGTTGCCTGAATTATTCTTCCCACTTGCCCCTTTGATGTCATGAACAAAGATGTCCTCAGAAAATTCACTTCAGCCTCCTTGGGCCCTTTTGTCTCTCATGAACCAGGAAGCACCGTGAGGTCATCTCTGAAGTTGCTGTAGTGAGTCATTTACACAGAGCAGCCTGTCTTCCCTGCACTGCCCGCCCTGCAGAGGCAGGGACTGCCCACGACCTCCAGTGTGCCCTAGAACAAAAGTTCATAATGACTTCACAAGGGCATTTTCTATAATGACTGTCATAATGCAGTGTATTCGGCTTTCGTGCTCAGGGGCCAGGATCATGGAGTCGATGACATAAGCTTTGGTTCTTTCCCCAAGCACACCCCGATCCCCGTGAGGCGGTGGGGAGACCAGACCTAGAGGGAGGGTGTGCTTCGGGGCAAACTGAACCCCCTTCTCGGGACACACCTCTGCAGGCCCTCCTCCAGGAACAGTGTTAGGGTCACATCTCTAAAACAGGAAGATCATTCCACAACTCAAAAAAGCAGAACTCTGAAAACAGGTTAGCTCTTTGCTTATGAGGCATGTCTTTACCCTGCTCTCTACAATGTTCAGAGATTTTTAATTTCTTTCCATTGTAGTTTACATTCAATATTATTCTACATCAGTTTCAGATGTATACAGCATAGTGGTTATTAGAAAATCATACACTTTACCGAGTGGTCTTCCTGATATTTCAAGTACCCACCTGGCTGCATTCGTATTTACTACAAAACAGTCATAAAGGATATACATTATACACAGAGATTAAAGTCATTAATAGAGATTGTAACATGGCAAGTTCTCAGGAATTTTAAAGAAATGGAGGGGGAGTCGTTTCTTTAAATTACAGGCACCCATAAAAGAAGTTTCACTGTAATTATGACATTCTAAAAACCGCACGCTATCTTCAATAATAAGGCCATCACCTCGGACCACTGGGTCAATCTTCACTACATAACTCCCCTTCTTCTACGGGGGGATGAGACAGTCCAAATCTTTAAGCTGTTTAGTGTGAAATGTCAAGGGATCTTGCCTTAAAAGAGAAAATTGGCACTTAATGGACACAAAGTATTTCATCATCTGATCTCCCACGAAAATAACAGAAAAAGCAAAACCTGTACGAAGCCTCGGAAAGATGAGGAGACAAAGACCTCCATTCAAGAACAAACTCCGTCCTTAAAGGAGCCGTGTGTCTCTAGGGATGTCGTTACACTTAACCTCCCGAGGGCTATTTCTTTATTCCCAAATGAAAGTAGTGTTAATTGTATTCTAGGATTTGGACAAGGACCAAATGAAACCTGTACAAGCGACATTTTTGATAGTGTTGATGGTGTTCGTTGTTTGATGATCATCATGAATAATGAATCACTGTTCTTTTTCCTCTGAGGACAGGGACAGAAATAGCCAGGTCTCCATTACAAGAGAAAGGAATAAAAATAAGGTCACAAAGGGCTTCTTCAATCTAGGAGCTGAGAAACCCAGAAACATATTAATGAGAGACTGTTGAATGGCCTTTCTTGACAACCTGGAAGGAAAATGGGGGCAGCTAGGTCTCTAATGCTTGGGGTCAGGTGGTGCTCATTTAACTGGTGCCGGGGGTAGTGTGTTCGAGAAAGCACGGCAGCTTCTGAGTTAAACTCACGAGAAACAACTCACCTGGTTGCCTCCACTCTTGGGGTTCACAAACACAAGCAAGGGTTTCATGAGAGGAGAAGAGATGGGTTTTATCACAAAAGGACGACCTTTGTTTTCCTGCTGAAGGAAGAAAGTGGCACAGCTGAGACGTACATCCATGACTTGACAGGCAGCCCCAAAGCAGTAGGAGAAACCATCAGCACCACCCCCACCCTTGCAAAAAAAAAAAAAAAAAATCTTGTTTCACAGGGCTTACGCTTAAGAGGATATTCGACATAAAACTCAGAAGAAAGTATCCCAAGCTACAGTTTGCCCCTGAGAATTAAGCCATGGATTTTTGGTGTTATTCTGTATACTCTAAGCATCCTAGAAGTGTTAGCTCTCGTCTGCACCTTCACCGTCTTTGGGATAATACTTCCAAAGACAATGCAAATGCTCCGTGAGGTGGCAGGAGGCTGTATGATTAAAATCGCCCCAAAATCCAGAGTGGTCAGAGGGACGGAGAAAAGAGTGGGAGGACACTCATCCCAACAATAAGGGTGGGCCCCACCCTGATAGACAGGGGAGGCTATGGTGAGCAGGAGATATTGAAACACTTACTTCAGTTCCTTTTTTACTGGCTTTCCTTTTAAAGCTTGTTCTCTTCTTCTTCCGATTGGAGGCCTTGAGAGAGTTCTGGGAGGAAAGAAGGAGAGGCCTGAGGCCAGGGCAGAGGGCCCCGAGCCTTCCCATGCAGAGCCATGTGGGAGAGGACGGCAGCGCATGCTGTTAGACGCATGCTCATGCTTTGACACTTCCAAGCCACTGCGTATGGGTAAGCCACAGACAGAAACCAGTCGCGTGCTTCAGAGTGTGCGACTGACTCCCCACCACACCGAGAGGCAGGGAGTTAGAACCCTGGAGGCTCTCATGGACTCACATAACAACACATGGTATACCTGCCAACCCTCCCAGTAAAAATGGAAGAATCCCAAATTCTCTGAGGGGCTCCAGTGTCCCGCCCAACCAGGTCCGTCTCCCGCCCAACCAAGTTCAAGTTCAAGTTCATCTCCTGGTATGGAGATCACCTATATGGAAATGTAAAAAAGGAGGCCATTTTTTATGTTTTTCTTTTCTGTGTTTTTTTTTATTCCCCCTGTTTACTTTTTCTGGGAGAGGGGAGGTGAGGGGAGTAATGGCTGTTTTAAGTCACAATCATAAAATGACTCATCTGCAATGGAACGCTATGATCCAACCATCCTGTCAGCACTGGTGGCTGAGTTTTAAAAGGCAGAGGTAATACTTGCCCTGAAGTGACTTATAACAGGGGAGTAGCCTTGTTCTTTCTCCTTCTAAAGACCCACTGGCTGACAGAGTCTTCCCACTCCAAGTCGCCTTGAAGTTTTTTTTTCTCACAGAAGAGCCCCCGACTTGGTGAAAGACAGTGGCCCCAAATTTACTTGCCCTGCATTTCTCTTTCTAAGGATTTTTATGGACCACAACTCTGTGGCTACTTCAACTAACCATTCACTCTTCATATTGGATACAGATGCTTTGAAAAGAGCCTCTCTTAGCGGGGCCAGCCACAGTTCACTTGTTGAAGACAAGGAAAATGAGATTTAATTAGTAGAGTCAATAATTAATTCCATTGCCACCTTCCTAAAGGCAAGACATTGCTACCACATCGCAGATGTTTAACAAAGTGTTGAAAGCCTGAAATACAGAATTATTGACTGGAAACTTTATGTAAGTATATACACATGCATTGCTTGAGCAGTGAAAGAGTTTTCAAACAGCTTGAAGAAACTGAGATATCTGTTCTACTATTTAGGGTATTTCTTTTCTTAGAGCATTCAAAATAAACCTTAATCTGGAGTACATATTATTAACACATCCAAACTAGCAAAATTGAAACTCTTTAGCTTTTATTTTTCTTTCACAGGGGCCTTGAAAAAAATAAGTTGATTTGTGGCCTGTGCTCACCAAGGATGAAGGTGACTTTCTTGAAACACTATTGTCTAAAAATCTGTTGCCCGCCAAAATAAATAAGTAAAGTTAAAATTTTTTAAAATGGAAGTTTGTTCCCTTATCAGATGAAAAGAGTCTCTAGGTTCTCCAGGCCTCACCAGAAAAGAGAAATCCAGGTTATCCCTCATCCCTGGGGGTGTCCAACCTGTGGCCCGTGGGCCACATGCGGTACAGGACGGCTGTGAATTCGGCCCAACACAAAATGGTAAATTTACTTAAAATGTGATGATATTTTTTTGTGATTATGTGTCAGAATGTAGTTAATGTGTGGCCCAAGACAACTCTTCTTTTTCCAGTGTGGCCCAGAGACATGGAAGGAGGTAACAGGCCAGACTATTCTACCCCAGCAGTGAGATCTCCAACTGCCTGAACTCCTCTTTAAATGGACCTATTATCATGTTGCTCTTTGGGGAAACTTTCACCTTATTAAAGTATTTGCTGTATTTTGGCTACTTTCAGTCTGTTTAAAATGGAAGAAGAAAATAACCTGGAAGCTGTAAACATTTAATCAGCCAAATGATGCAAGAAGGATGCTGGGAACCAGCGGGCTGGCCAGGGCGGTGCCGATCCGATGCCCATGAATGGTGCTGAGTGGTTCTCTGCCATCACGGCACACTGGCCTTGCCCAGAGACCTTTGATAGAACGCTGCAATCCGGGCCCTATCAGACATTCTCATTTCACTTATTTGGACTGAAGCTCTGGCAAAGATACCTTTTAAAAGCTCCCCAGGCCATTCCGACCTGCAGCCAGAGTTCCAAACCTCTGTTTGACACAGAGGGGTGGAGTTAGGAGACATGTATAATGGGGCAAAGCAGAAGATCTGAGGGACAAGGACCCCGAGCTGTGCAACCCAACAGACTGGGTGCTAATTCAGGATGTCCCTGCCATGAAGTCTGCGTCACTAGGTCTGAGACTTGGGCCAAGTCAGTCCCACTTTTGAAATACCAGTTTCTTAATTTCAAAGTGAAGTGATAATACCTACCTCACAGAAGAGTGTGGCGTTGAAACCAGACAATGTGTGTGAAGCAGCTAGCTTGGTATCTGTCCCAGGACAAGGATTTCCAAACATGTCAGCTGCCTTGTGCACAGCTGTTGATTCCAGCACCCAACACGGATGCCTGGCATGTAGTATGCACACAAATCATTGTTGAAATGATGAATCAGTATTATTATCATTCCCAACCCTTCTGAAGTCTGTCCTGATTTCAGAAAGAATCCTTAAGGAATAAATGCCTGTCTCCTAACTTCTTTTTGGTTTTAGTTCATTTACTATCAAAAGCAAGGCAGGATGCATGCCAAGTGCTCGCTCAAATGCCCTGTGGTTCTTGGTGCTTAACGGGATTCAGTAATTAAACTCTGAGAGAAAGGTCTGATGGATGAAGCTGAGGGTGTTTCCTAAACTTGTCCAATCACGGGAATCAGAATTCTCCAGGTGATTCTGACAATCAAGCACGTCTGGGAAAGAGAAAATTAGAAAAACGCACCCAAAGAAGGAAGGCTTGAGGTCTGAAAACAGAGCAGGCAAGGTACTCAATTCTGATAGGAAACAGACACACGAAACAGCTTAAAAAAAAAACACACGTAGCAAATACAGGTGCTTTAGAGCCTCACCCAGCCAACGCATCTGAGGCCTTCTTCATTTCACAGAACAAGGGGGCAAAGGCCAAGCAGTGGTGGACTTACAGTACCTGGACGCCTCTACGTGAGCTCTGAGTAAGCTTACAGCCCTATGGACAGTCAAATAGCAAAAGATAAGCAGCATGGAATTTCACAGCACACTTAAAATGCCCGAGCTTCCTGCTGTTCCTGGGGAAACAAGAATCTGTGTTTCCGAATCTGTATCTGTGTGTCCATAGAGAACTCCTTTTAGAAGGTGGCTTACAGGGACCTGCTGGATACGAAGGTAGAGCTGGGTTGTGTTTTGCACTGGCCTGGCTAATCTACAATATCTCTTTCCCTGCCTGGGCCAATGTTGTCGTGAGAGTTAAATATAATAGGATGTTGCTGAAGAATGTAAACATTATAGCAGGAAGTTACTGGGTAGAACTGTTATTGACGTGTTCAAGAAACCTTTAAATACTTGTCCTGTGTTCTAAAACAAAGCACCCCTGTTATCAAGAACAGCTAACTCTGATACAAAGGGTCCACTTGGCAAGTTCAACACTATCAAAACTGAACCGTTGTGCCCTCGTGTGGATATTTGTATTCCTCCAATTCCAACAGCATCTGCCCCAATACATTCTGTGCCCACTCTTTTGTTAAAGTCCTAGTAAAAGATAAAGGCTTTTTCTGTTCTTAGACCAGGTATCAGGACGGTCTTATCTTGCTGCAGAAATAATCCTATCAACAAAATCTTTATCTTAGTCCGGCTCCTTCCAGCACTGTTAAGAAATGCCTATGGGTGAATCGTTCCACTGTGAATGAAACTTAACTGCCTGTAACTGTTCCTCAGGGATTTGTCCAGGTTACGGGGTCACAAAGAATCAGTCATAACAGTCTCAAGAGAAGATATCTCACTTCTTCATCCCAAATGAAGTCTTCCCCCATGATATACTGGACAAAACTCTGGCAGATAATTGGAGGGAGGAAAGTCATGGGCTCTGTCTACTGAAGAAGTTCTCACTCTGCCCTACTTTGCCGGCCACTGAGACAGAGGCTGTCCTGAGAATAGGCAGGCAGAAGAATAAAGAAAACACACTCCAAAAGTTAAGGACAGGGTCTCAGCAGCTTCTCAGGCCTATCTGGATAAAACACAGCAAGTATTACTTAAGCTTTAGAATTGACCAAAGGAAATGGCTTGGGAAATGTTGAGGGATATTATGGTCAGAGCCATGATATGTCACAAGGGTACAGCATTTTAAGATCATCCAATCATAAGGAATAAGAAAGGATTTGCGTGAAGAAAGCCCACACAAGGCTAGGAAGCCTCTGACTGCGGCATTTTCATAAGTTGACCATTGGAAATAATATAAATATCGATCAGTAGGGAGTTGGCTAAGTAAACTAATATATACATAGCATGAAATATACGTGGCAGTCTAGACATGTGTTAAATTTATATGTACTAATAAGGACTTTTCCCTAAGATTCATTTTTTTCAGTAGGAGAGGCCCTTTTTAAGGCATTATGTATAAAGTAATGCCATTTATTAAAAACACACACCTTGATATTTTCATAACTTGACTCCACAAAAATTCATGTAATGTAGGTCTTCTCTTCAGTTCCAAGTGTCAACATTAGGATTTGAGCATCTTTAACTTATTTATCCAACCAAGATATTATCCTCTACTCTTTTCAGTACAGAAGACAAACACCGACATCTATAACATCAACCATAACTTTGATTTTAAGTACATCAACAAGTTCCGTTTTCTTTGAATTCCTTAAATCCATCTCCCTTCTCATAGTTTAACCCCTAGGTCTCCCCCAAATAATGTGGTAATGACACTCAGCACATCATCCAGGCGGCCCTCACTCCCCAATCATCAGGGTTTCGCCTGACTTCCAACCTAACAGCTGCTCACGGAGGAAGGGCCCACCTGGAGCCAGGCATCCTTCCACAGAGAAGGACAGTACATGGTTTAACCCCACCTCTTTGCAACCTACTGTCCCTGACCACCATGTATGGATGACCATGTACTGATGGGTGTATGGAAAGTATTCACATAGTATACAAATTCTGAAAGTTGGAAAACTATTTTCTCTGCTGTTCTCTATCTACCTTCCGAATGCTATCATGTCCCAATGTCTCCAATGAGTTGTCTAATATTACCACTTCCACACCATTGTTGACAGGTGCCACCTGTGTGACAGAGGCCACCTGTGCCCCACACTCTCCAAGCTGTGGTTTTGATAGCATCAATGATCTGGTCCCAAACACATGAACTTTCCTTAATCCCTTTTTTTTTTTAATGTCTACAGAATTTAACATCAAGGACTACCTTATTTTCCTCCCCATTTTTTATAATGAAACTCTGTGTTGTCATAGTTCTTTCCTTGTTTTCCAGGAATTTCTTCCCCCTTACCCTCTCTGGGGGTGGACGCTTCCTCAGTCCTCTTCCCTCATTTTCCGTGAGCAAATAGGACCTGACTGTCTCCCATGGGGTGGGCCTCATGCTAATGAACACATAGTCCCACAGTGGTGTCAAATACAACAGCTACTGGAGTTCAAGGTGCACTCAGGGGCCCAGGAGACAGCAGGCCATGGCCCCTATTCTGTCTCTTTCTACCCTCTCCACCAGAAAGCTCATGTTCTTTCTACCCTCTTTCATTGTCAGTAACTTCTGCCCTGATCTCCATGTGACTATCCAATGTTTTCATCCATTGAAGTACAGCTTTGCTTGATGCCCTGTACCCGTAAAAGTCAGTGAGAAGGAAAACAAGACCTAATATTTAGTGAGTATGTGCAGTGAGCCAGGTGCTATTCTATGTACTTTATCTCTCTTGCTTTTAAGCTTATTAGTCCATGAAAACCCTATGAATTAGGTACTAGTATCAGCTACACTTTGCAGATGAGAAGCTGGAAGAGAAGTGTTTAAGCCATTTGAGACTGCACAGATGATTAAGTGCAGAGTGAGGTCATGAATCCGGGGAGTCCAGCTCATAGGCCAGAGCTCATCACTGCTCTCTGTTGCCCACAAAGCTCACCAAACATTAGCTTTTACACAGAATCTAGGCCATCGATTAAATTATGTGATGGAAGTGGGCCCATCAAATTTTTAATGATACCTGATTCAGCAAGGGCTGCTAATCCAATACAACAGTGAACAGCATGGCATAGCACTAAGAATTCGATTTCAGAATCAGAAATTCTGGGTTCAAATGCCATTTTAAACTATTTAATATCTATATAGACCGAGGAAATTTCTTTGGCTTCTCTACTCCTCCCTTTCCTCAGCTGTAAAGGAGTAACAGGATTCCTGCCTCATGGGACACTATGATCATAAAATGAGCTAGTGAATGTGAAGCACTCAAAAAGCTTCCTAACAGATAAATGTTAGCTCTTCTTACTCCTATTATGATATCATGAATCACAGAATATAATAAAAAGGTACATGATGAAAAACACCTGGACTATAGCATCCAGATCGTGCACTGTAAGTACCATCTCCCGTTAAAAGTAACCGAGTCTCCTTGGAGAAGTGGCTGATACCAGGTTCGGACAGGAAATGCCTATGATGTTGTTCCTGGAACCACCTAGAAGGGGTTCTAACTGAGCCAAGGTGGAACAATATGAACATAAGAATAATAATGATGCCAAAGGATTAAAACACATCATATACCATGGATGTACATTTGGAATTCACAATGATACTCTCCAAAGCAATTGCCATGAACTTCACCACTCTTAGTCCTGTAATAAAAGTTACCAAGGTATTAACTTACTGTCTTCTGGAAATTTACAAAGAAAGTCAACTACTTGAGCATCTGTCATATATTTGCTAGTAATAAGGAAAACATCTCTTTAAACAAAAATCATAGCTAAAAAAATGAGTTAGAAATTGGGAAATCACCCTTTGGCCACCCTGCTGAAATAACAGATTCAGGTAACAGTACTTATTAGATAACACAGTAGGTAAAGGGCTGGTGGACAACTTGATGACAGACAAGCTAGGAACTTACTCATCAACCTTCCTATCCCTAAACGTTGGCGACCTCACACGTTGCTCCCTTTGAAAGCAACATGATGGAAATACGAATTAAACTGAATCTAGTTAAGTCTAAGTATTATTTTACAAGAAATATGGGCATTAAGGGAAAACATTTTGAAACACACTAAGGATCCAATCAGCCAAAATAAAAACCCAAGAAATTTTTACAGAGAAAGTGTTCTAATTTATTTGATAAATAGCACAAGAAGTACAAGGGGGATCGTTATAAATTAACAGAGACTTAAGGTATGTCACCAAAAAAAGCAGCTGTGAACTTTGGATCTTGATTTGAAAAAATAATTGTGAAAAAAATTACATTTGAGACAATCAGAAAATATTTTAAGGAATTACTGATTTTGAGGGTTGACATAATATGTGGTTGTCTTTCTAAAATGTTATTTTTTAGAGAACCAAAATGAGGTGTTTATAGTTTCAGGGGTGTCCAACCCATGGCCTGTAGGCTGCAGGAGGACCAGGATGGCCACAATGCAGCCCATCAGAAAATAGTAAATTTACTTAAAATATTAGGAGATTTTTTTTTTGTGATTAAGTATCACCATGTATTTATTGTGTGACCCAAGACTCTTCTTCTTCCAGTGTGGCCCAGAGATGCCAAAAGGTGCAGCCCCCTGGAAATGACATGCCAACATTTGCTGTAAGTTATCCCAGCAAAAGAAAAAAGTGGGTGGTGGAGGGGGGCACATACTTCCTTTTTCAAGAAGACAGAGTCGATGAGGTGGGACCAGGAGAAAAAGGAATGTGGTTGTGACAAGGTGGCCTCAGGGACGCTTGAGGAGGCTACTGCTCTGGCTCTTGCCCGAATCGACAGTAATATATGTGGTTGTAGAGTGCTGTTCTATAACGCGGCAAGAAATTACTGGGAGGAGAAAATGTGTGCAGGGCATGTGGAGTCTTTCTGTATCATTTCTTACAACTGCCTGTGAGTCTCAAAAATATGAAATTAAGGAAAAGAAATCATGGTGTGGCAGGAGATATATGAAACAAGGGTAGAAATGTTCACATTACAGAATAAATCCATTATAACCTTCTCTCTCTCTTCACTTGCTTAAAAATTCCCATGATGAAAAGATTTTTAAGTTTAGAAACGTAAACTTACAATTTCCCTGATTTTCACAACTGGTCTATCTCTAATCTTCTAAAATCCCAGGTATGGGATTTTAGAAGATTTCTCTAAAATCTAACCTGGAAAATCCTATCCCAGGTTATCCTACACACTCTTGCTAGTAGTTTCCTTCTAAAATACAATTATTACTCTATTTCTCTTTTGCTTAAAAGGATAAAGTTCACATACAGAAAATATTCCCAGGTGTCCAGGCCTGACCAACTCCCCCACCTACCCACGTAAACCTTCCCCTGTGCTCAAGCCTTGTCTCATAGCCCAGTGAATATAATTCTGGACCCAGTACCCTTGTTCATACCATTCTCCTGCCCGCTGTCTCCTCTTTTCTCCACTGGTCTAAATCCCACCCATCTCCTTCATGAAGCCCTCCTCCCTGATCATTTGTTAAGATAACCACAAGGTCACACACCAGAGCGAGGATCACACAGCACATCATGACGCCAGTACTCTTCCTGACGCCATCGAGGTTTTTGTTGAAAACATGGTAGCTCATGGAGAGATTAGTGAATTTTAGGGGAAAAATACAAGTAAAAACGTTAAAGAGATTTTTAAAGAACACTAAATTGGAAATCAGTGAATTTCAGGCATGGTACTTGAATTTCAAACATGGTACTGAAGTTGTATATGTCACCTTGGCTTTAAAATGTAAAAGGAAAGGACTGGACTCCCCATTTTTAATGAATAGATACTGTACTTGCCTCTGGGAAAAAATTCCCAAGGGCTTCCATAAATTGTGACTTGGAAAGATTATTCCCCAATATTATTCATCAGCAGAGACTAAACTTTATAGAAAATACCCAAAGCAAAACAGAGTCCCTGATCCAATAAAAACTGAGTCAGTGAGAATAAACGGCACGATAATTTTGGAAACCACGTAAAAAAGGACTGGGTGGCCATATCATTTAAAGATATTACATTTAGTAAGACCTCCTGAGATACCTGCACCCTAGGAAGGTATAAACATCCTGTAGCATTAAAAGTCTGCCATGCAGAACTTGGAGCTAATTGTCTAAGATGAACAGCACAAAGGTAGACATGTTTCTGTCAAAGATTATGATCTAGGAGAAACGACCCAGGCTTCCCACAACTGAAGCAGAGTCCCTCTAGGACATAAAGGACCACGAGTCAAGTACAGAGAGGGTCTACTTTGCCTTCAGAGAAGAGCGTTGCTCTGTAAGCAGGCCTTGTGCATTGAGGAAGGTCGTGACCCACAGTCTGCTGTTTGGGTCGGAAGGGGCAGTGACCTCGACCAAACAAGGGAGGCTACACAGGGCGCCCCCACACCCACTCCCTGGGAGTGCCCAGGCTGGAAGAGAAGAGAGGTGTACGAGAATCAGCTGTCCACACCACGAGTGCTTAAGGAACTCAGGAGAGCACCCAAAGAGAATATCATTCGCACACGAAGTGGAAGGAAATATTCCCACTGTGGAATTTTGATTTCTTAGGAAGAGGGGGCTGGTTCCATGAGAGAGCCCAATGCAGGAAGGTGATGGGCCAACGGGATGGACTGGGGAAGCTGAGCACGGGACCACGGGGTGAACGAGCAGAGGTCGGAGAAACCCAGAATCTAGTCGGGGCAGGGAAGCAAGAAGCGGCAGTTCCTCCTCTGCACTGGCTTGGCAGCACCAGGGTCCCGGCAGTTACCTGAGGTTTCTTCACCTTAATGATCCAGGTGGGCGGGACGATGACAGCAGCGTGCGCCCCGAGGGAGCAGGGTTCCTCGATGTGATGCAGCATGAAACAGGTCACCTTATTGTGGAACTGAAGAGAAAACAGGCCAGTAAGCACTCCCGTGCAAAGGGCAATACCGCAGTGAGCAGGCGTAAGTACACATGTCCATGCTGATGCAGGCACATGCAGCACACACACACATACGGGACCCATGCTTCTCATCCACCAGCCCTGCAGCTTAGAGACCAGATTCAGAATTCATTCTATTTTACAAACTGATAACAATTGACAACAAGAAATCAGTCTATAGGACAGACCAGCTTACCACTCTTATCCTAACATAGCGTCACAAAAAAGGTACCCACATCAAAAACTCAATAAACTTGTTTTATGTTTTTAGTACCTCACTTTTACCTTTATTTTTTAACTTTTATTGAATTCGTTGGGGTAATATTAGTTAATGAAATTATATAGGTTTCAGGTGCACAAGTCTATAACACATCATCTGTATATTGTATTATGTGTTTACCACCCAAAGTCAAGTCTCCTTCCATCACCATTGATGCCCCCTTCACCCTTTCCCACCTCCCCCCACCCCCTTTTCTCTGGTCATCACCATACTGTTGTCTGTGCCAATGAGTTTTTTTAAGTAGGATATTTTCCTAAAGATGTCGGAGTCTTGGAGGTGTGCCTGAAAAGGGACCACACACTAACCCTGGCAAGCTCAGGGGAAGCCAGTGTGATGGGCTCTGCACAGTGAGACTGAGTGTAAGCACACAGGAGGGTCTGAACATAAAAACTCCTAATTAAAAGTGAGTCATGGTGGACAGGCGTGCCCTAGGCCGGTAGGTTCCGTGACAAAAGTCAGTCTTTACCCACGTGAGCCTGTCTGTGTCTTTTTGCATCTAGGACGATGTACCTTTGAGAGGTCAGAAGGCTCCCCTTCTCCAGGCCCCTGGGGGCACACCCTGCCACAAAGACCACAGAGCCCCTCACTGCTGTCTTATTGCCCCTGTACCATGTCTGTGTGCTGTGAATGTTCCTTATTAACCACCCTGCACCACTCAATGTCAGAGAAGCACGTGGCTCCTTCCCTATTTTTGCCTTTTTATCCAGCTTCGAAGATTTCCCTGCTTTGCTTTCTCCCGCCCCCTTAATATACCACCCATGGATTGCACATAACCCTCCTTTCGCCTTCTCCTTTGAGTCTGGTGCAGCGGTCCCCAACCTTTTTGTCACCAGGGACCAGTTTTGTGGAAGATTTGGGGGTGGGGAGCGGGCAGGAAAAAGAGGTCAGACACGTGGCCTGGTTCCTGACAGGCTGCTGACCCCTGTTCCATTGTATAAAACAAGCTGTAGAATTGCCATTCTCTGGAGCATTTTCTCCATCCGTTGAGATTTCGCTTCCTGGCAACTATGATCCGTTTGGCTCAGATAAACTCATAAAAATCCTCTACAGGTTTGAGTGTTTCTTACATGGACAGAGGGCTCTGCCCATCCTGACTGTGCACATAACTTTGTTTCACTTGACTTGCGCTGGTCAGACTCGGTTAATTAGGAATAATGTTGAGGAGGAAAGGAAGATGAGCAGAAAGGCAGTGCCTGCCCACTGCCTCTCCCTTTTCTACACATAGATGCAAATCCTTCCCAGGGAGTCTGCCCATTTAAGGGGCCCAGGAGAGAGGCAAGACGTCTCTCCTGGGCTGCTGTGAGTCCAGGAGGTAACAAAGAACAAAGAGATCACTTCTGCTGCATTTGTGAAGGCCACTAAAAACTATAATGGTCCTATTACACTTGGCACGGCTCAAGTGCTTTTTGTTTTTGAAAGGAAAGAAGGAAGGAAATGCAGACTAATGATTATAACAATACCTCAGTATCAGGGGCTTAACACTATTGGGAAATGGGCTGGGAGACCTCAGGCCAATCACGTTTTCAATCGGCTTCTGTGCGGCTTTTGTGCAGCAGCAGAAGTGAGAACGAGGGATGGTAATGTCTGTTTCCTCAGAAACACAAAATCACATTCCACAATGATTACGAGCCTTAAAGTTTTAATCATAGTGATTTTTAAAAAATGAACATCAGTTTCTACTTGGATTATATGTAATGTGACCATATAATATATCATCTTAATGGGAACAATTTTAAGAATGAAAGGAGCATGGTTCATAATGAGGCTGGAACAAAAGATACAAATTAGGACCGTCTCGGGGAAAACTGGCGAATGCAGCCGCCCCAATTACATCCCACCGGGGAAGTTTTGTCTTCCTTTCTGGGTAGCTCCAAGATCTGACATGATCCAGTGGCTAATCATCACTAAATCAGTTAATTAAGTGTGAAATACAATTTCATTAAATAATTAATAATTGCTCCAACCACCAGTTATTTCAACCAATGTGATATACCAGAGAAATGTTATTTGAGTCTTTTTTTTAAAAGGGGGTTTTCTCATGGGCTGAGGACAGTGGGGAGTGTGTGACTATGTCAGGAGAGGAATGTATGGAAGATCACCCTGCATTCCACTCAATTTTTCTGTGAACCTAAAACCGTCTGAAAAGTAAAGTGTATTCGTATTAAAATTTAACAAACGATGCACTAATGAATGCTAAAGTCAGTAGGAAAAAGTTTAAGGACAAATACGCTATCAGCATCATCCCAAAATATCTCCTCCAAATACTTATCATTTGGAAAAGGTGATGATGAAGGTATAGGAAATGCCATGTTAATCAAGAGATCAAGGTTAACGTCATAATAAAACACAGACACTCTGTACCCCCACACAAGATGCAGTGAGGACACTGCATCGCTTCTACGGTATTTTGCATAAAATGAATAATTTCAATCTAATCATAAGAAAACACGAGGCACGCTCAGTCTGGGAGACATTCTTCCTAATAACCAGTCGGCGCCCATTAAAAGTGTCAAGGCCACGAAAGACAGAGAGAGAATGAGGAAATGTTAGAAATTCCACCGCTAAAGGTACTGGGGGATTCCTGGTCAGATCCTGGGACATGAAAGAAAACACTGGTGAATGTTTTACAAACCTGTAGTTTAGCTAATAGTAATGTACCAATATTCATTTCCTGGTTATGTGTCAAAACTAGGGGAAGCTAGGTGGAAGGGTATACATTCATGTTCTGTACTATTTTTGCAACTTCTCTGCTAGTTTAAAATTCCTTCAAAATACAATTTTCTATCATTTTTCTCTTGGCGATGGAAATAAACCCCCAAATGAACAGCCACTGCATTTCTAAAATGGAAGGGGTCTCGGAGCCTGCCTGTCTCAACTCTCCGGGCGTGTAACCGAGGAACCTCCAGTGTGGACAGAACCAGAGGCCCGAAGCGCACTGCTTTGGAGTGGTAGAGGCAGCATCAAAGCCCAGGAAGCCCAGCTCCCAAGCCCAGTTTTTCCCCAAAGCAGTAAGCGCCCCTAGAGGGCCTCTATCTGTCTGTCTGACGCCATATAGGCTAGAAGGGGTTACCTGTGGGGTGAAAATGTATCACCACTGTAATTTGTCTTAAAATGGTTTGTGTTTTCAGACTTTGCAAAACCCCCTTCCATGTGTGCCACCCAGGGAAACATGGACCAAAGCTGCACCACAATGGCCACTAGAAAGCTGTGTTTACAGTGATACAGTTACAGCTACAGTTGTAAGAAGCAGGTGTGTATGGTCACCGGAAAGTGGGACTAAGTCCCCAAATTAATTGGCCCTGGCTAAACCACCTTACCACAGCCTGAGAGCAATGGGCATGGGAGCAGAGGCTGCCTGTCTGAGCCCATGGCCACCAGTGACGCTGTCCCACGAGTGGGGTCTCACCAGACCAGGGAAACCAGCAGTGCAGACATTGTGAGCACACCTGGACCCTGAATCTGCTTCCTCCCCTCCAGGTGGGGAGACTGCCTTGGTGCTACAGTTTCAATCAGGAACTGGGATGGCCCTGTGCTTGTGAATGTGTCTTTGAGCAGAAGCACAAAGGCCATTTGTGTAACCATGAACTGAAAGGAGACGGAAAGGCCAAGGATAAGATGGGGGGGGGGAGGCGGGGACAGAGTGAGCACTGGCTTTCCCAGACCATGCGCCTCTGCTGCAGGACAGCAGGTTCTCCTGACAGGTGGGCACCCGGGGAGGTGATGCTGGAGAGAGCAAGGGGCTGAATCTTATGGAAGCGCCAACATTCAAAAGTTTCAACCCACAGAAATGTCAATGTCGTGAGTTTCATTTCAACTAGACGCATCTGCTCCTGCCCCGTGGCCTGGTTTGGCTCGTTAAACCTGACCTGTGCAGACAGCTGAAGTGTCCCCGCCAGCACGTCACCTGGCTGCAAATAGTGTCTTTGTTTGCAGGTCGTCCATCCAGAACAGTAGGTGAATGGGAGAGGTGAGGGGTCCACGAACTCTTCCTACAAAGGCCCAGATTGTAGATACTTCAGTCTCATGGGGGTATCCTGTCTGTGTTGCAACTACCCAGCTCTGCCACTGGCATTGCAGTAGCTGTAGAAACCACATAAACGCAAAGCAGCCACAGACAATGCATAAATGGATGTGCATGGCTGTGTGCCAATCAAGCTTTATTTACAGAAATAGGCAGCAGTCGGAGTTGGCCTGTGGGCCATGGTTTGCCAACTGTGATTCGGAGTATATATGCATTGAGTGCTCAGAGAAGGAACAGGCACACAGGCAGACCAGTAAGAGAATGAGCCATCTAGTTGGCATAAAAAATGGGGTGAAAAGGATAGATAAAAAGAGGGAAAGTAAATGGGAAAATTACTGTTGGATTCTATTGAATGTCTGTGTCAAATGTAAGGAAAAGTTACAGTTCAATGAGCACAGAGACAATATAACAATATTGAAATTTAAAGAATACAAAACCATTCCTGTCCTAACATAGCTTCACAAAAAAAGGTACCCACATCAAAAACAGGAGAACTGAGATATCTGAACTGCTGTGTTAGAAGGACTTTCTAACGTTGCATGGTGCTTTCTTTTCAGTGTTGCAACTTCCTCCCAACAATCTAGTATCGTTGGGAAAAAAACATGGTCCAGGAGTGAGAAGTCCTTGATTCTAGACCCAGGGATAGAACCAGCAGAGAACTTTCCAGTCTCTGGTCGCAGAATTCAATGTGTAAAAATAAAGGGGTTAGTTTATCTCTATAGTTTTCCTCCCAGCTCAGAGATGCTATAATTCTACAGTCTCAATGTCTTGCTTCCTCCAATGATCCTCTGTGAGGGTAACATCATGTATGTACATGGAGAGGACCTTCTGCCTATAGACAGGAAGACGAGCAATGGCCTGAGTCCCCTCAGATAGAACGTGAGCCCACTTCATTTCATGTCATCCCCAAACTTACCGCCTGCTTGCACCAGGAACAGCTGATAGCCACAATCTCTTTACTGTGGAAGGAGAATTTCTGCTGAAAGCCCTGGGTGTTAGGACAAGAGATAGAACATTTAAAATCACTTCAATCACAGCATGCACCTGCCCTCCTGAAGCCCACAGAAGTGGACAGAGCCAGGACGGACTCCACCGCTCCAGGTAACTAGGTCTGCACGTGCCGCCTTCAGCACTTACATTCTCCACCCTCTGCCACGTGAGAGCTTCTGGTGAGAGAGGAGGCACCAGCATCTGCTGTACCACTGAGTGCTCAAAGTCAGCCACACAAAAGGGTGGGTACCCAAATAAATGTGGTTCTGTATTTATTCAAAGTCAAAGAAAAGCCACTGTTGGGTCCAGTGGTACTTTATAGCAATGGTCATCCATCTGAGAGGTTCTAAGAGTATTACCATCTGAGAAACCACAAAGAGAGAAATTAAGGATCAGAGAGTTGGGGCCTGTAAGTCAGGGTCTGGGAGAAGTCCAAGGGGCTGGAGGAATTCAAAGTCTCTCATCACCCCCTTGGGATATCGGGTCTCAAAACAAGCAGCTTTCAATTTTATTCTTCACCAGCAAGCAGCAGTGAGATTAATGGAATGGCCAATGCAATCCTTTTAAATGAACAGATTTACTTTTTTATCAAGAACGGAAGAGGTGCTTTTTGGCTGAGGCTGTCCCTAAACAATTACCAGAGTATACAGTAATGCTCAAAGAATGCTACTCGGCCTTCCCAACCCTCACCCATTCGTTCCGTCTGAGACATCCCGACCCACGTAAACAAATGCAGAGCAACGACAAAACATTTTAAAAGCAGGACTTTTGTAAAGGGATCAAAAGAAAATGTGAAGGGTAGGAAAGCTACCAACGCACTGGCTGAAGAAGTCTTGCTTAACGTCTACAGAAAATTTTTATTAAAAAAATAGATTTATACCTTAAAAGAACTTCCATTCTAAACCATAGATAGGCCTTACTATCTGTACCTGACCTTGGCATTAATGGATATCGTCCGACTTGTTGGCTATTTCATGTGCACCTGTGTTAGCTCTCCAGTGGAATTATAGCTTTCTGAGGGAAGTCCCTATTAGGGTTCTTAAACAGGTAGGTCCTCGCAACTTAGCATAGCTTGCTGCACCTCACAGGCATAGCATGCATGTCTTCTGATTAATTGAACAAAGTCATTGCTCCCACAGCGTGACCCAACCACCAACTTCATCCTAGGTAGACATTAAACACCTACCCTAAACTACCTGGAAATATGCTTCCTCACGACCCTCTCCTCCAACCCCACAGACACTGCACACACGCTAGCACTTTAATTTAATGAAGCCTGAGAGACAGCCGAGCCACATGGTTGGAAATCGACATGGTGGACCGTCGGCATGCCAGCAACCGAAGCCACAGCTAGAGGTCTGCTGATCGTCGCTGTATCAAACGTATTATTACACAGTGTTTTAAGTGCTGTTAGCCAGCCACCACTTCATCAGTTCATACATCAGGTGATTGGACAGCAAGTAGATGCTGAGACGGCCAGGCTGAGCGTCATCCTTGCACCTGTTTGCTGACTGGGAGATCTTAACCCTTCTCATTTCTCCCTTCACCTGAAAGTGGGAATGACAATACAAACCTGTCCCGTGCCACTGAGGAGTCATGAGACTCAAATGGGGCCATGTGCAAGAAAAGTTCTTTATAACCCAGTATATATAAATGAAGCAGTACTTTTACGGCTAAGACCTACCGACAGCAGTGTCTTCCACCGCCTCGCTGACAAAGTCCTCCAGTGTCTATCATGTGACTAGCAATATTCTATTTGACACAGAGGGACAGGGTGCCAGCCGACCGACCCTTCTACAGCACACTGGCCTCATGGCTTCGGGGAGACACAAATGTAGTCCTGCCAGACAGGCTGATGCCTGCAGCAAACAAGGCCAGCCACAGCCGGGGACTGCGGCGGGTGCCCTGGAGAGGAGCCTGGTGGCCACCGGCTCTCAGCAGTGGGTTGGATTCTAGTCTGGCAGGGCCCCAGAGGCCATAGCTTCAGGGTTACTGTCTAACATGGGGACATAAATAGAATCCTACCAGGGCTTCCACGGACCAGCCACCCGCAAAGAGGAGACGATTGGGCCATGGTCTCCACATAGCAGAAAGAGCCAGATCCCTAACAGTCCATTCTCGAATGCTGGCCTGCACTTGACTCTGACAGACACCGTCACTGAATTCCAACTGACTCGGTGATGTGTGAGGTCAATTTTCTTCATCGCCGGCAAAGAGGAAAAGAGGGATGTGAGGTCAGATGTCTTGGCATAACTGACTTCAGAATTATAAATACCAAGAGCGGGGGGTGGGGGGGGAAGGTTGTTTTTTATGGGGGCGGGGTTATTCAAATTAAGCTCTTGAAATAAAGGTTAAGCAACATTTATTCTCAGCAGCTAAAACTTTGTTGCCTCTCTTTCATCTGCCATCTAGGACATATAGCAAATGGCACTCAGCTTCTCAGCCTTGGCTGAGACCAGAAAAAAGGGGGGACACTTTACTTGAAACAAATCAAAAGCATTGTATTGCTTACGTATGTAACTGAGGTTTGAGTGAGGGAGTCCCCTGACCATAGCCTGACTCCCTGCTTGATGTAATTTTATTTAACACAAGAGTCAATATGCTCTTGATTCCAAAACTTGAAGCAACAACAAAAGGAACCTCCTCATTTTCACTCCTATGCTCAAAGTTCACGAGTTATTATAAAGGGCAACCTGAGGGAATTATAAAATAAGACTAACTCAATATTTCTCTTAAAACAGAGAACTTTAAACACTTTTTTTCTCAAATACACTATTATTTTAAATATATATATATAATTTTACACATATTATATTTTAATATGAACATGGTCATCGTAAGTTTAAATGAGATGCAAAGTTCATTTATCTAGCCAAATAAAAGCTTTCAAATAAAACTGTTACGTCCCTCTTACATACTTAGCCGATGGGATACAAACACCATAGCAATTGGATAGTCACTAAGGTAAAGGGATATTTTTCAGATCAGACCAGACCTTCACCAGAATATCTCACACTGGCTGAACTGTCTCGGTGCAACTGCCTGTAATGGGTGAAGCTGACAAACCCAGAAGGCTGAGCATCCTGCAGCCAAAGCTGATCAGTAACTGAGACCTTCCTCAGAGTGACTTAGGTGCATACTCACAGCCACCTGACTGAGAATATTTTTGCACTAATCAAACGTGGCACCCATTTTGACCCATTATCTATAGATTTTGCGGGCTAATTCTGTCCTATCTGGAATTTGTTAAGGGTTCAACCTTCAACATTTTTTTTTAAAGATTTTATTTATTTATCTTTAGAGAGCAAGGGAAGGAGAGAGGGAGAGAATATCAATGTATGGTTGCCTCTGGTGGGTCCCCTGCTGGGAACTGGCCTGCAACCCAGGCATGTGCCCTGACTGGGAATCGAACCACGATACTCTGGTTCGCAGGCCTGTGCTCAATCCACTGAGCTACACCAGCCAGGGCTCAACCTTCAATCTTTAATTAGCAAAGCCACTTCTATGAACCAGTCTCTCTCCTAGCACATACAAATGACTGACTTTTTTCCCCTTAACCAACTCTCCTGCCCAGTTTTCCACTGATATGTGCACCTGGAACTGTGAACCTGTTTACTAGGCTAGTTTTGAAACATGCCTAGTCCTTCATTTCATCACAGAACAAAAATGGCAGCATTAATATTTTAGCTTATGTAAGATCAGGGTTTATTTAGTCTAACTTACCTGAACTCCCTAAGTCACCTCATACTGAATTTACTGTTCTGAAGCTAAAACTTTTGTAAAGATTCAGGATTTTCAGATTGTAAATGTATGTGGTCATGTAAGTTGAATTATAATAATGTGATTATAAATGAAATTTTAATAAGCAATGTCTTTATAGCTTATGCCAGTGCGGCAAATTATGTGAGTCTATAGTTCCTTTATTAGAATTATTTTTTAAAAATCCAAATTCTTGTCTATTGGGTTTAATCCTACCATAGTTTATGGCATTAATGAAAGGCTCTGAAAATTCCCCACTGCCGATTGTCCTTCATACACTCTCACCCCAGGGCATCCTCCGACCCACACACCTGGACCAACACATTCTTTCTATGTTCTTCCTTCTAATGTTATTGGTGATTGCAACCCATTCATCAGAGCTAATCAGTCTTATTACCCTCAGATAGTTTGGGCTTTTTCCATTAATTTATCTGAAGATCCCCCATACAAGCTACAGATCATAGAGTGTCGTCGGGAAGGGAGTCAACAAAATTTGGGGCACGGGATTCTCCGTGCAAGTCACCACCATCACCACAAACTTGCCAGACTGTATGCAGAACTAAGACGACTTCCAGTCCTCTCCTATTTCTGAGGCAGATGGCCTCACGGAAGCAGCTTGACCCTGGCCCTTGGAATTAAGGGACAATGGAAATGAAGCCTCTAACAATGGCTGCTCATTCACATTCTGTTTTACATGTTAACTACTTTTAACTGTGATGTGTATATTTCCCTATTTTTACCACCATCTGGATTCTAGGACAAAAATAATATATACAGAGACTCAGTGTTACAGTCAATATGGCCAAAACTGAAAACAAAACTTTAACTGTCGGGTTTCGTCTTTGTTTTAAAACACCACCCGAGGCACAGCGGGCTCGTAAGCGTGGCAGCTGTGATGGCAGTGATGCACCCTATGTGTGGGTCCAAGCACTCTCTTGGACTGCGGCTCTCGTCCCATTCCCCCCCGGTCAGTAGGAGTGTAGCAGGCTGATAGCTCTCAAAGGAGACATTTTCCATCTTTAGGAATTGCCGCGAGCCTAAAAGAGTCACCTCGGCCAAGGACAGCCCACATGCAATGGCTGGACAGGCAGGACAACTCTTGAGGGGCTATGCCGACTCTGCACGGGATTGGGTGAGACCTGCGCCATGGCTGCAGGGAAGTTCACCTCCTCCCTCTGCACAACTGTACTATTTTGGCACTTGTGAACAAACAGTGAAGGGGGACCAGAGTGGTCACAC